TTTATTCTCTCATTTGTGATTCTAATGGAAAAATGTGGATTTTTGGGTTCTCCCTTGGGGTGTGCTCGACGGAACTAGGTAATTTGGTGCCCTCCCTTGAGTACTTAGTGTCTAATAGAAGATAAGTACTCCTGAGAGGCTTTAGATTAGGCGGTTCTGCCACGGATAGCCTTTAGGACCCTCTTGAGCCTTAGCAAATTGGTTTGGTCTCAACCGAGTTGGTTTGGTGTTGGTTGAAGCTTTAAAAGTCATGCAAGTCATTGATAGAGGCCGCTCGGCCGAAGTTCACGATCACCGCGTGCACGGCGCGGTTGGCGACGAGCTCGAGCATGGCCGAGTTGTTGTCGCTCGGTCGACACACGCTCGATCGATGTCGTGCGGCATCCCTGACCATGCGTCGCCATGCTAGGCAGGCTACGCGCCTAGCTCCTGCTGTAGCTCGTGGGCTTACCGGCCTTGGGTGGCCGGCCGCCATGCCAAGCACCAGTTTGGGGCTGGGTTGCGGTTGTCATGGCTCGGCCGACGTGGTGGCTGCCCCACCCCTCGTTCTATCTACCGCGATGATGACCCGGTCACCATGGAGATGAGAAGCCTCACTGTCTTGCCGCTAGCCGCCATGAGAGCTCTGCTTGGGTCCAGCCCCTCCAAGTTAAGCGTGTCACGACAAACCCTCCCCGTTTTGCCAAGTGCGTGCACGTGCTCGTGTCGCAGCGAGTGATCAGAGCCGACCTGTCTTAATCCTCCCGCCCACGCGCGTGTGCCTCTTCATGGCATGGCACGGCCAGAGCTCGCCTATCTGCCCCTCAAATTCGTCTAGCTCAGGCCTCTCGCAACCTGATTCTTTGCACCAGTAAGTGGCACTGGAGGCCAACTAGGCGCTCCATCTTTCCCACCGCCGGCCAAGAGCTATCGACCATCAATTGGGCATTTTGCTCGCCGCGGTTCTTGGTCGCCACCGTGACCTTGAATTGGGGAGAGAGGTAGGGTTGGAGCGATAGTAGTTCAATCGCTGGAGACCGTAAATGAGTCTTGATCCCCTCCACTTGGTGCTCGTGTTGTTTTGTCCAGGAGGGTGCCACGCTCGGCACACCGCCGTGAGGTGCGGGCGCACGTGGCCAGGTCGCCTCGTCGCTCCTCCGTCTCAACCGTCGACGCGGCGCGAACCCCGGTGAGCCACTAGTGCTTATGTGTTACCTCCACCACCTCGATAGCACCTTAGGCTGCCAGAACAGCCATGCCGCCGCCGCAAATGACCCCTCGTCGCTGCACTCGCAGTACTGCGTCCCCGAGTCCCTAACCGCTACCCAGTCGTGCACGTTTAGCCTTAGGTAGTGGTCGACCCCTTACTCCAGTCTTAGCGAGTCTAGGTTGCCGACGTAGCTGCCCGCTGCTGTCGGCCGCCGCGTCGGCGAGCGCGGGGGAATCTAGGGATCTCCCCGTGGTAAAGGCGACAACATCCAGGGGCCTATTTGCAAAGATGTTGACTGGAGGAATAATATGTATGGTGTTTGTGCTATTACAAAGAAGAACAGGGTCTCTTTTGCAAGAATGCCACCGCACGCGCGCGTCCCGGTCTTGGGCCGTGTTGGGCCGTCGCGGCGCGCACGCGCCCCACGCTGGGTTGGCAGGCCAGATTGGGTTAAGGTCAGCCCATTTTCTTTTCCAGGTATTTGCTAATTTAGTTTCTAAGTTAAACTTGTAAATCCAATAAAAATTTGTGTAGTTGATCAAAAATTGTGAAAATAATTTTGCTAGGTTTCTAAAAACATAACCTATCTGTTAGTGTGTTTGGTTCCCATAACTCTAAAATAATTAAGGTTGCTTTAAATGCTTTAACATGCTTTGATATTATTAAAATATGAACTTATAGGAATTTTTGACATCAATCCGTGCTAATGTTAAAATCTAAAAATTTTACAGTAGGTTCCTAGTGTTATGATAGGCTCACTGTAATTTTTGTGGCTCCAGAGTAATTATTTTGCTAGGATAACTAATGAGCCTTAGATCGAATATGTACAAATGTACTGACAGTTTTCCAACAATTTGAGAGTGCAGAACTTACCCATCGAAAAAATATCCAGCATCAGAAAAAACACTTGACCTTTGTTGTCGCTGGAAACAGATCACGGAATCTGTCACAATGTAGTATTGATGCTAGACCTCCGGCTGAACATCCAGAAAAGAAGGGCCTGTAATACGTGTGATGTGATAGGTCATTTTTCTTGGATCATAAGCATTATTCAGGAAGTGAAGGATATCTAACAGGATGAAAATCAAATGTGACAGCAGTTTGTGTAGGATCGGTTTATGTTCCTAGTAGTTGGAGCAAACTTTTCGGTTTGTTTGACGGCTAAACATTATGATGCCAATTTTCTATACTTTCATGGATATAAAATTTAATCCCACTGTTGTGGAAATTGAATTAAATGTCAAGCATCCATAACCTTGTTTTTCTTTTCTTTTGAATAATTGAAACAGAATGCTAGCTATGTGCAACGAACATACGTTTTTTGCCTTGTTCATTCCCCTCACAGTAAGTAGATCATCGATGATGGCACGCCAAACTCTGAACCCTCTGTAATGGAGATTTTTCGCCTAAATTGGAACATGATATTAATCTTTTTTTTTCTACAAAAATGATAGTACAATCCATAAGTTCAAAACATACAGTGTCCACAGTCTCAACGTCACCAGTAAATGATGAACCATCACAGTATCTGATCTTTACTCTATTCCAATTGTAGAAATCTGCAGGCAACAGAAGAAATTGTTACATAACAAATGTACTGCAACATATCACACCATCAGCTTTCAGGAGTGCTATGCACATGTAAGGAAATGCCACTCTTAGTTAACTTTACACTGGTACCTGTCCTGAGTTTTAAGGGCCATCAGAGCTGGCATTATTTTGTCTTGAGTTTTAAGGGCCATCAGAGCTGGCATTATTGCTAATAGCACACTTCTAGCATATTTTTTTTAGAGAACACCCTCTACATTTACCCTTTTTCAAATGAGGATGCCACCGCAGTGCAACCGTGCAAGGGAGAAAAAGCAGATGACATACCAGGATTGGATTTTTGGCTGCCGCCTAATATCCCTGAAAACGAGAGCGGCCTCATAAATTTGGAGGAGCCCCTGAAGTTGCCTTTCCGGACTGCACACTCATCTGGATTCCTGCACCACCCTCCTCCCTTCCAAAGACAGAAACGAAATTGAGTTGATTTATTTCTCTCGAGAGAAAAAGTTGGACTGCCAGCAGTATGCAATCTGGAATATCGTTAGCTTAGGCCCTGTTTGGTTGGGCTTTTGGCTTTGGCTTTTGGCCCCAAAAGCCAAAAGCCCAATCAAAGGGGCTGCTTTTGGAGGATGTTTTTTCAGAAGCAGCTGCTTTTCCGTAGTTCATTTTTGAAAGCTGGGTTGACCCTACTTTTGGCTTTTGGCTTTCTGCTTTTCGAAATTGGTGGAATAAAAAGCTCTTTCATAGTTGTTTCAAGAGAGATAAAGATAAAATGTATATTTTATACTTGTTTAACCAAACAGCTTTCAGCTTTTCTACAGCTCACAGCCCACAGTAGCTTTTCCACAGCTCACAGCCCACAGTAGCTTTTTCCCACAGCCACAGCTCAACCAAACAGGGCCTTAGTCAAATTCAAATAGATACCTCCATGTGAACCACCCAGTTATCGGCGCCAGAACCAGACCAAGCATGAAGCATGATTTAGGCCTTGTTTAGTTTCTTTTTAAAAATTTACACCATATCCTATCGAATATTTGGACATATGCATAGAGTATTAAATATAGACTAAAAAATAACTAATTACACAGATTACGACTACTTTGCGAGACCAATCTTTTAAACCTAATCGGTCCATGCTTTGACAATAAAATGCTACAGTAACATATATGTTAATAATGGATTAATAAGGCTTAATAAATTCGTCTCATGGTTTACTGACGGATTCTGTAATTTATTTTTTATTAGTATCAAACACCTCATACAAAACGTCCCCCATACGACACCCCTAAACTTTACACGCAGGCCTTACTGCTTACCGGCCTGAGCCCACTGCCCACCAAAATACCCGTGGTCATCTCCGGCCTGACTCTGCGGTGAGAAGACACTTTGAGCGGCGCTTGAGGCAACCGCAACATGGTCCAATTCAAATGCAATGCTGGGTAAAACAAGGAGGCAAGAAGGCGCCAGCACAAATGGCAATGGCAAGTGATGGCATGTACAGTGACCATCAAGAGCAAGACTGGGATGCGTTTGAGTAGTTCCAACTTCCAAGTGCCATATGAAACACTTTGAGCGGCTCGGGGAAAACAAAAGAGACGAGTGAAAACTGAGAACTGAAAACGTGTATGCAATCACAACTGACAGAGTTACTAATGGGCACATGACGACATGAAGATGAAGGCTGGCTGGCTGGGACGTGCTTTAGCAGAGGGCCAGAGCCCAGAGGCGCAGTGATCCAAGTGCACATGTCGGTGACGAGCAGTAGACGTTCCTTCTCCTGAGTCCTGACTCCCTGATTCCACGCGGTGCCGCGGCGACCTTTGTCCGTCTCCATGTGTGCTGTGGGCCCATGGACCCGCCACGCCAACACACCACGGGCCCGAGGACGAGAGAAACGTCGCAGACTCACAAGTAATGGGCCACGGCCGAACAAAAGCACAAGGCAGGCCTCTCAACACGATATCGAGAAATCCGGCTCGGCCCACGACCGGTTCCACAAACCGAGGCAGAGAAAGAAAGAGCCACCTCCACTTGGAACGGACAGACGGGCACGTAACGGCACGGCGACAGCACCCCCACCACGGCACCACCCCACCGCGGGCGGGGCGTGTGTCCCGGGTCCATCGGATCCCGAGCGCGCGCGTGTCCGCCGCGCCTTTCCCGTCCTCACATCCCACTACCCGTCGCTCGCTCGCTCACTCGTGAAGCGTCTCGCCGCCCCCACCGATCCACCACCCAACCCATCATCCCTCAGCCACCGGCCATGTCGTCGCCGTCGGTGCCCAGCCTCCGCCTCCCTCTCCGCCCGGCGTACCCGCCCCTCTCCCGCCGCGCTCTCGCCGGAGGCTCCCCCAACGCGGCCGTGCCCCGCGCCCTCCTCCTCCTGAAACCCCTCGGGTCCAAGGCGCCCGCGTCGTACCACCAGCCCGCGATCCTCCACCACCAGCGGCGCCGGCATGGCCCGCCCCCAGCCGCCGCGACCACCACCTCCAAGCCTGTTCTCAAGGTACCTTCGGTCTCTATTCTCTCCCGGCATTGGCGGCGGGATGTCGCGTGATTGATTGATTGATCGATTGCCTTGCCTCGGACTGCTTGGCTTGGGTTGCCGCGCAGGACCCGAAGAAGTACCAGGAGTGGGACTCCGTGACGGCCAAGTTCGCCGGCGCGGCCAACATCCCCTTCCTCCTGCTCCAGCTCCCGCAGATCGTCCTCAACGCCCGCAACCTCCTCGCCGGCAAGAAGACCGCGCTCTTCGCCGTGCCGTGGCTCGTACGGCCCCCAATTCGCGTCTCAGATTCCACCTCCTCTGTGTCTGCTGTGACGCTCGTTTTGACGGATTTGATCGCACGCTTCAGGGAATGCTCACTGGGCTGCTGGGCAACCTCTCGCTCCTCTCCTATTTCGCCAAGAAGAGGGAGACGGAAGCGGTAATCGTGCAAACTCTTGGCGTCATCTCCACCTATGCGGTCCTTGTGCAGCTCGCCATGGCGGAGTCCATGCCGGTGCCGCAGTTCGTGGCCACTTCAGTCGTTGTGGCCGCAGGGCTCATCCTGAACTTCCTCAATTACGTTGGCTGGCTCCCTGGAACCCTCTGGCTGCTGTGGGAGGATTTCATCACAGTAGGCGGCCTTGCCGTGCTCCCTCAGGTGAAAATGACTGTTTTTCCTTTGCCATCTTACAAATTCAGCTCCTTCTGTTGTTTTGTACAGTGCTGATCAGCTGATGTCATTTGATTCTTTCTCTTCTGGTTATCTCTGTTCGGTCATTTGAAATGCAGGTCATGTGGTCAACATTTGTTCCCTTCACCCCCAATAGCGTACTGCCTGGCATAATCTGTGGTTCTTTGGCTGTTGCAGCTGTTGCGATGGTACGACACATTATATTATCTTGCATTAAGCAATTTCTGTTTATTAACTCTGATATCATCTGAATGCCTCAAGTAAAACTGGAAAGCTAAAAAAGGTATTGTCTTTATGACTCAAAGGTGACTGAAGCAACCTTTTATCATTTGCTTGTACCAAATTAGTTGACCATGCTTGATGTCAGGTTCTAAAGCAGCCTACGTATTAGGAGAGATATTGTTCTAAGTAATCATGTGAGCAATAATGAAGTCCGGTTATGTAATAGGATGTTATTCTTATTTTAAGTGCTTGGGGGGTTTAAGTTCATGTTTAAGGGGCGTACCCAGTGCAGAGAGCTCCCGCTCTGTGCGGGGTCTTGGGGAGGGCGTCAGTGGCAAGCCTTACCCTCGCCTGTGCAATACGAGGAGACCGCGACTTGAACCCGGGACCTTCCGGTCACAGGCGGTAAGACTCTACCGCTTGCACCAGGCCCGCCCTTCGTTTAAGTTCATGTTTAGTTGGATTTAATTATACATAGTGTTTTTTCTTTATGAACTCTCATTTAATTATGCATAGGATGTAATTTCAGTCTGTTTGTTTGATTTGCGCACATTATAAATAGCTTTGGTTGCTGGTAAGAGAACTTGTTTAATAAGACATGCAAGAGATTATCAATATGAGAACACAAAACATGGAAAGTCTACTTTATCTTTTCCATTTGTGCTGATATATTTCTATTTTAGGCATACTTACCAACTTATCAATCGAGCACTAAAAGTAGGTTGTATTCACATCGCATGGTTCCTTCATTTAATGCCCTCATTCCTAGCTTATGGTAGCTTTTGATTACTTTTTCCTTTTTGGTTTCAGGCAAGGATGGGCAAGCTTTCTGATGCAGGGGTTAAATTTGTTGGGTCATTATCTGGTTGGACAGCCACGCTTCTCTTCATGTGGATGCCAGTGGCACAGATGGTATTCAAACTTTCCACACTCTTGTACCAGTGGAAACTTATGATCACATAATGCTGATGCACTAAAATGCAATTTGTTTGTTGGGTTCTGCAGTGGACAAATTACCTTAACCCAAGCAACATCAAAGGGTTGTCAGCTTTCAGCATGTTGCTTGCAATGCTTGGAAATGGACTTATGCTTCCTCGTGCTGTATTCATCCGCGATTTGATGTGGTATTGGATTTTTTTATTCCATTTTGCCTGATTCCTTTTTGTGATTCAAGACCAACTGTTTGAGAAATCATGATGGGAAGTATCTAACTCCTACTGGAAATGCCTATTGTAGATGGGATGAGATCATAGGAAAATATCACTTCCCTAGGCATTTCCGTGCATGAAGCTTTACAAGAAACCTCCTTCTAAATCATGTTCATTAACTAATCATGAAAGGGCATGACAAACAGAATAAGATGCCCATTATTTCATAAACTGATGCTGATTGAATACCTTACTTTCATGGAAGTTTGAATTTATTTTTGTTGCATAATAAAAGATGTATTTATTCATACTCAATAATATAGTCAAACCAATGCCATTTTTATCTGCTGTATTACAATTCCTGTCGTCCCTTAATCATAGTTATTTTCATGAATCTAGGTTCACTGGTTCTGCTTGGGCATGCGTCCTACAGGGTTGGGGTAACCTGACATGCATGTACTGGTAATGTATTTCTCATAGCTGTGATATCCCTTACTTTTGTATTTATCCTGTATGACTCATACAAGACAGTTAACCCTTTATTTTTTTTGTTCCAGCTTTAATAGCATCAGCCAAGAATTTTACTTTGCAACATCAGCTGGTCTGCTTCTATGGCTAGGTCTTCTCTCTTTGCAATATCTAGTTTGTTTCTTTCCGAATATAAATGTCTTTAGCAGTAACATTTCATTTTGGCAATTTTATGAAGAGCACAAGCATTTCAGAGTTGCAGCATTTTTGTGAAGAGCACAGCGTTTCAGAACTAAAATTTTTTGTTGCTCTGCAAGTGTGCTAGATTGTCTTTCTGACTGTACATGTCACTTTTTTGTTGCTTGCTAGGATTTACTCTATGGAGAGATACCATTGCCTATGGCAACAGCTCGCCCTTGACTTCTTTGAAGGAGCTATTTTTTGGGAAGTGATGAGCCGTCGGCAACTTTGTTTCTCTTGCACTTGAAGCAGCTAACTGTTCCCGGGTAGGAAGCTTTCCTGCAATAATTCATGGTGACTGTCAAGAACGGTGTTTCAGTTGCTCTCGTTTGGTCTGAAGAACGGTGCTTCAGTCTTGGCATTTTGAGGTGAAAACGTGGAACTTGCTGGTCAGCTGAAGGCTATAAACATTGCCATGACCTTGGAGTGGAAGCTCCAACTTCCCCAACCTGTAGAAAGCGCCATGTGCCTCTCTACAGAAGCCACCGCGTGATGACCAGCTTCATCAGGTAGGGTGGGTACAGTAGCAAGCTAGCCTTAGTCTGATGTAAGAACAAATTTATATTGTCCATCCCATATTCAGCCTGTTCGCTGGTTGGTTTCTGGGCTGATAAGCTCAGTTGGTGCTGATTTGGTGTGAGAGGAAAACATCATTGGCTGACTGATAAGCCCTGACTGAAATCAACAAACGAACAGGCTTGAATATTGTCTTGAATAAGATTCCAGCTCTTTCTTTTTTTGAAACCGATGAAATTTCAGCCCTTGGTGTCGTGCAAAGTTGTACCCATTGTCCTTGTATGATCTTCCAACAGCTGCTGTTGATCTGGGCAGTGCATTAGGCCGGGTTTAGTTTCCAAAAATTTTCACCTCAAACTATCACATCAAATCTTACGGTACATGCATGGAGTATTAAATGAAGACGAAAAAAAATTAATTGCACAGTTTGGTTGGAAATCGCGAGACGAATGTTTTAAGACTAATTAGCTCATGATTAGCCATAAGTGCTACAGTAACTAACATGCGCTAATGATGGATTAATTAGGCTTAATAAATTCGTCTCTCAGTTTTCAGACGAACTATATAATTAATTTTTTTATTAATATCCGAAAACTTCTTCCGAGATCCCAAAACATCGATGTGACATTAAAAATTTTCATTCCGCGAGCTAAACACACCCTCCTTGCACTGGACTGCTTGTTTTGACAGGGAAGTCCAGTCCAACAGCTGCTCTTGGTGAAGCAAGTGGGTGGGCGGCACTGGGCCCGGTACGGTCCAGTCCAGCTAAAAGCCCACTTGCATTAATGGCCAACGTAAATTTTCCATTTTTTCTCCCTAAAAAAGAGAAGAAAAGAAATCGAAATGGATGCAGCGCAGGGAGACAGCTAGTGTGAACGCGGCAGGCCCCGTTCTGTGAGACCGAGCAGTGTGAATGGGCAGAAAAGTAATGGCAGGCAGAGGCAGGCAGCGGCGAGAAGCAAGAAGAAAAGCGAGGCGAGCAAGCAAATCGAGGCAAGAAAGCGGGGTAGCCTGCAGCCTGCAGTCCCCTGCCGCTATCGCTGCCTCGCCGCGGTTTACAGCCTGTCGTTAAGGGATTGCTGCCGTTGGGCAAGTCGCGCTGAGGAGACGAGGGCAGGAGGGGCGGCGAGATGATGGAGGCGGGCGGCGCGGGAGCGGGAGGAAGGGACGAGAGGGTGCCGCAGTGGGGCGCGCAGGAGACGCGGGAGCTGATCGTGGCGCGCGGGGAGATGGAGCGGGAGACCGTCGCGGCGCGCCGCAGCGCCAAGACGATGTGGGAGGCCGTCGCCGCGCGGCTCCGGGAGCGGGGCTACCGACGAACCGCCGAGCAGTGCAAGTGCAAGTGGAAGAACCTAGTCAACCGCTACAAGGTAACACAACCCTTATTCCCGGTTTCTCCAGATAACTTTCTAGCCTATTCTCCGTAACTCTAGATTGACCGGTCTGTTCTGGACCACCAGGCATCGATGCTCTGCTGTACCATACTAGTGTTGATGGCAAAATGATATGCATTGCTGGCCTGTGACTTCATCTTAGCTTAGCGTCCCCAAATTGCTCCTCTATCTAGATATCTCCATTTTGGGTTGTTATAGGAGTATGTCCACAACCCCCATGTTCACATTTGCTGCATTATTTGTGCAACCATTTCCATAAGTAAAGGATATTGAAGAATCTTTGTGTTCAATGAAATGATGTTCAAGGCATTGTTGTTCGCATATTCCTTCTAATTTGAATGAATGTACAAGCCCCTGCCTTTTGTTACAAAAAGAAGGGATTATTCAATCGTGAAACTCTGCTGCCTTCCGTTGTTGCTGATTAGAAATTGTTCATTTCTTCCAATTCAAGGTTGAGTGTCTTTCCTCTATATGTTCATGATAGCTATAGACAACTGATTTTACAGACTTTATCCTTGCATTGTACATTTGTGCTACACATGATGGAACGTGATGCTTTCAATTACACATTTTGAAGTAGATGGATACCTAGTAATACTAAGACCTATAGATAATATATTTTTTATCTTGTACTAATTAATTTACAGCACAGGGGATTTCTAAAACTTTCTTAGTCCAATTGTTGTTTCTGTTTTCAAGTTTTCTTCACAAAATTCGCATAGATGCAAGGCTTGATTTTGTTACTATATTTTGTATATTTTTGGCATGAAAAAGAAGGTGTATTCCACTTCGTTTTGTTCTGAAATAAAAACATGGCACAAATGTTTTTAAGAAGCTAGGATAACTAAACAGATATCTAGGACAGTGAATTATTACTAGTAGTGATATAAAGGGGAATCCATATATCATTATCTTTGTTGACTATGAGTCTATGATGCATGAAAAGTCAATGTGGAATCTCAAGGGTATCATCCAGAATTGGTGGTTCAGTTAAAGTTTAAGATTTTCACTTTTTGAGAGCATGGATTCATTGTGAACACTAAAGAAGGCTTTCTTCACATTTGTTAATTTGTCTGAGAAATTGCACTTGAACTGGCTCAGAATGTGACATTTTAACGATCCAAACAATTAAAGAAAAATTATAGCTGGCAAAAAGGAGGGGTGTTAAAATTATGATACTACCTGTTAGGTGCGTGAGAGCATGAATGCGCTGATTAGGTTTATTGAGAGAAAAATGCGCAAAACCTGTGCATTATTGGTGATGTTCCTGCAGACCACAGTAGTCATGTGTTATTGGTCTTCTGCTGCAATATTTATAAAGACTTTGTATTTTGTCTCAACGAGGATGTCAGGAAATAGACAATTATATTTTTTTCATCAGGAGGGGATGAAAAATTGGAAGTTCCATGTTAGGTTCAGATTGACTCTGCTGTTGGGTTGGTTGGGCGGTGGGTCCAATTTCAAGCTTTGTATTAGAAGTTTTTCTTTTATGCTTAAGAAAACCCAGTTCCTACTTACAGGGACTGGCTGATTGTTTATTGTTTGTACACGTAGTTGGTCCATCTTTGTCTTGTGGTCTGTCCACCTTCTTGTTTGCTTTGTGATTTCAATGATTAGTTAGTACCTCCATTCTTTAGTTTATTATAGGCATGAGCTCATAATTTTATGCATCCTTTCATTTCATCAGGGGAAAGAAACTTCTGATCCAGAAAATGGTAGGCACTGTCCCTTCTTTGAAGAGCTGCATGCCGTCTTCACAGAGCGTGCTAGAAATATGCAGCGGCAACTCCTTGAGTCTGAATCTGGAACTTCTGTCAAAAGAAAACTGAAGCGACCTGGTGGTGACCGGTCATCTGGGGAGTCTGATGACAAGGATGATGGTGGTGAAGAAAGTGATGATGAGAAGCCGATGCACAGCAGAAAGAGGAAAGCTGATGACAAGAAACAGCAATATCAAAGAATGCCTGAGAAGTCAAGAGCAGGAATTTCAAGCATCCATGAACTGCTGCAGGATTTCCTGGTGCAGCAACAGCACATTGATGTCCGGTGGCGGGAGATGATGGAGAGACGCGCCCAGGAGCGGGTTGTTTTCGAACAACAATGGCGGCAGACAATGCAGATGCTGGAGCAGGAGAGGTTGTTGCTGGAACACTCGTGGATGGAACGGGAGGAGCAAAGAAGGATGAGAGAAGAAGCACGAGCTGAGAAAAGGGATGTGCTCCTGACCACTCTGTTGAACAAACTCCTACAGGAAGATCTATAGCAGGATAAGCTTGCTCTTCATTTCGTCAGGGTATAGCTGCAGTAGTGGACATTGTTTTCTCACCTTGTTTAATCAATTCTTTGTAGCTCCTACATATGTTTGACATGTGACTGTTCAAAGAAAAATGTTTCTTGCAGCATTTCTATTAGGTTCCTAGGGCTCCTTTTCCAGTTATTTGGTGGAGTAAAGCTAATTTTATGTTTAATTGTGGTTGTAACTTGTAAGTATCATACTGCCAGGTAGGTCTACAGGTCAATGCTAATATGCTTGAGATAATTGGGCTCTCTGTCAGCAATGGACAGAAGTTCATGTAATCTGTTTGTTCAAAAATAAGTTCATGTGGCCTCAAAGAGAAAAAAAAGTTCATGTAATATATTTGCTCAAAGATAAATCTGCTTGTTCAAAATAAATCCATGTGGCCTCAAAGAAAAAAGTTAATGTAATATATTCACATGTTTTAGCAAAAATGCTTTCAGCTGGCAACCGGCCTTGTGTGAGAACAAGCGAACAACTGGATAAGCCCATCGGCCGCAGAAGGGCACTGCCCTGACGGCGACTCCGAGAGGGAACGTTCCGGGGGAACCGGGCAGCGCCGCAGCGGCAATGGAGGGCCAGCCGCTCCATCTCCTCCTCGCCCAGCCCCACCACCCTCGCCTCCCCAGCCTCATCCCCAACCACCCTACCCACTACCTGCCCACCTCCCGCCTCCGACTCCGCGTACACCGTCGCAAGCCGAAGCAGCTCGCCGCAGTGCCTTCGAGGCGTCCATCGGGCAGCCAAGCCGACGCGCCAGGCCGTAGCGCCTGGGAGCGGGTGCCGAACGCGGTGGCAGCGCTGGTGTTCCAGCTGGCCGTGTGCTCGCTCCTTTTTCTCTTCCCCAACCGTGCCCGAGTCCTCGCGCTCCCGCCCCCTCCGGGGGCCGCTGCGGTGGTTGAGGCGACGCAGGAGGAGGAGGACAAGGAGTGGGAGGCTGCGCTGCAGAAGTGGAAGACTAAGACCTACGCGCTCTCGGTGCCCCTCCGGGTCGTCGCGCTCCGCGGTTCCTTCCCTCCGTCTTGGATTAAGGTCTGGTCGCCTTCATCCACATAAACAAAGCATCCCCATTTGTCAGATTAGTAGTTAAACCATAACATAACACGATTGCATAAATTTGTGTGAGCATGGAAGCATGAATGCATGGTGTATGGCCAGGGGCTCTGACCCCGGAATTTTCTTTAAAGAAAAATGAATGGTGGATGGTGTGAAATTTAGTGAGATGTTCTTTTTGTGCCTGTAGGATTTCGTTGAAGCTCAAGGGAAGAGGATCAAATTCAATGCCGAGCTCCGTGCTAATCTTGATGGGATCTTCTCTGAGATGTCACAATGTATGGACAAGGGTCAAGTTCAGCCGAAATCCGCAATGGCAGCTGATGTGGTTTCCCTTGGGGACTCTTGGCTTGGCTATGCCATTCGTAAGGGATTGCTAGAGCCTGTCAAGAATGCAGAAGAACAGGATTGGTTTCATAGCCTGAGTGACAGATGGAAGGTGAGAAGTGAAACCTTTACTTTTCCTTGACAATGGTTATCACTTGTGTATACTTCGGCACAAGTTTGTGATCTTGCATTGCCTTGGTAAATAATTTACTTGTTGAATTTGATTAGATTGTATAAACTTGTAAGAAACACAGCCTATTATGAGACCTGTTTGAGTTTTTATTCTCTACTGGATGCTCGCATATTATTAATCTTCAATGATCCATCAATTCTGCTTGTAAGTCATTTTAGAATTGTTCTCAAGAATTAGAATCTTCGATCATTGCCTGCATAGCCTTACGCTCTTCAACTCTTTCGTGCAGTAGGCATAGCTAAATGGAGTTAGCTGTTGAGTTAGTGTGTGCAAACATTTGGAGGTAGCTAGGAGTAGGACCACACAAAGACATAGGAATAGGGAGAGGTTGGAAAAGATGGCTTATTTCTTGATGCGAATTGGGTTTCTTTTGCAAGGGGCGCGGCATAGAAGAAACAAAAAATAGCAAAGTGTCTAGAGGTTGTTGAATTGCTTTTATTTAGAAAGAGAATGCAAAAGAAACATTTTCATGGAGATGGGGGGAAGTAATAAAGTAGTCTATCGCTCATTATTTGCTTCAGTCATGCACTTTTTCTAGTCTTGGGTTTTGTCAGTCAGCCAGCAGTCGCCAGCCACTACACAATATCTCTGATCTCATAAGATATTTTTTGTAGCATAACATTTATAACTTGGCTGTGAAAATGTTCCTCTGTGTACTTTGCATTTTCATTATAGTCTATCAGGTTCATTTGTGCAGGAATCAGAATGGAGAAGCAGATCCTAATGGTACAATATGGGGAGTTCCGTACAGATGGGGCACCATGGTCATTGCTTACAAGAAAAACAAGTTCAAAAGACATAATCTGAAGCCAATACAGGTGAACATTTTCCTTGAGAAATATGCAATATTAGCCTAAACTTACGAGGGTATGTTTATAGGGCTTCCCTTTTCCTAGGTGAAATGAAAATGTGAAGCATAGTACTGACTACTAAGACATACTTTTTGCTTGTACTTATTGATGCTGACTATCTTTGCTGTGACAAACCTGATAGGTGTTAAGCATATTGATTTTTTTTTTATTTGTAGGATTGGGAGGATTTGTGGAGGCCCGAGCTTGCTGGGAGGATTTCAATGGTCGATTCTCCTAGAGAGGTGATTGGTGCAGTTCTGAAGCATCTGGGATCATCATATAACACAGTTGATATGGAAATAGATGTCAATGGTGGTAGAGAAGCAGTCCTAAATAGCTTTACACAACTACAGAAGCAGGTTTGCACCAGATACGGCACATCCTTTTTGCCTCTTTCTTGATATATATGGGCCATCCTAAATTCTGCTATGATTTATTGCGCTGGATTTGATATTGGCTGTCTTTGGTAGGTCCAACTATTCGACAGCATGAACTATCTGAAATCATTTAGTGTTGGAGATGTATGGGTTGCAGTGGGTTGGAGCAGCGATGTGATAACTGCTGCAAAGCGAATGTCTAATGTCGCGGTGATTGTACCCAAGTCAGGCAGCAGCCTGTGGGCTGATCTATGGGTATGTTATGGTTTTCTCATGTGTAATGCATCGTCGTTTCAAACTATCTTATTGATTGTTATGGTTTTATACATTGCAGGCAATACCATGCGCGACAAGATTTCAGACTGACCAAATCGGTAGCCGAACCAGAGGCCCATCTCCACTCATCCACCAGTGGTTCGACTTCTGCCTGCAGAGTGCTAGGAGCCTACCCTTCCGCCAAGACGTCATCCCCGGAGCATCTCCACTGTACCTCGAGAACCCTGTGCCAGAGGTCCCTCAAGATAAGAACAAGAGGAAGCCGAAGCTGGACACGAACCTTGTCCGGGGAGTGCCTCCGCCCGAGATCCTGGAGAGATGCGAGTTTTTGGAACCCCTGTCAGGTAAGGCGCTGGAGGATTACCAGTGGCTGATGTCTAGAATGCAGAGACCTCGGCTTGGTTTGTTTGGGAACCTGTTGCAAAAGATGTCAGCTGTACTAGACTTCAAAAGAAGATTTTAGAGCCACTGTACTGTACTTGACCAAGGGTTTTTGCTTCGTCGTGCAACTAATTGTTCCGTATGTTTGACGATCATGTGGTTCTCATTCGCGACAGTGGTGCGAGACTGCGAGTGTTTGAGGCAGAAATGGCCGTGAGGACCTTAGGGCTCAGGCTGCCCCGCCGCTCCACGGCGACGCTCTGAGGCCGGTAAAGGCGCTTGTTTGTGATGGGCATCATAGCAACGATCGATCAGGAGGTCGTGCGGACCATGCATTTTACACGGTGTACATCATCGTAGACAGCCGGGCCAACGTGAAAATGCCGAGCCAGAAGCGGCAGGCGGAAGGGCGCCTGACGCCTGCTGTGTACTGTGCTGCTTCTGATCAGAAACATGAGTTCAGTCATATCACTTGCACTTTGTTTCAATTGATTCTTCAATCATCTCACGTACGTGAAGGGATTTACACAACACCGCACTTCTCACAAGCGTTTGGCTCACACAAAACAAAATCGGAGAACCAATTTAACCATGTACAGGGACCATCCTAATTGCCGTGGGAAGAATGTCTGACAGCTGATGAGCAGCCAATACATGAACGTCAGTGCCGAATAAAATCACTCTTTAGCAGCCAGAGCCTACCATATCATGAGCTCCTGAATCCTGGATATGATTGATGCAGGTGCCCGGGCAAGCATCTCTTACAGTTTCAATTTGCCCAGGTCAATCTTTTGCTTAGGGTATGTGTAGGCTTCATAGTTTATGTTCTGGCCAAGGGAGTTCAGCTTTGTGAGTGTGGTTATCAGGTCAACCTGTCATAAAGAACAAATAAGCACAAGTTAGAATAAATAATGGAAGATATACCGAGCAATGCCAGCACATACGGATCAATGAATCTTAATCTTACTTCATAGTCAGTCCGGGAGACAGTCTCGCGGCTCCGCTGGTACTTCTCCACCCATGGACGGCAACCCGGATCAGCTATCAGTCGCTCCTCTGTAGCAGCCTGGTCAGGTCCAAGGAATGCTGACATAACAGCAAGCTGCAAAAGGAGCCATCTTCTGTTAAACGTGAGACTGGTTCATGGTTTTTGCTATCTCTCATGGCAATAATGAGATAAGACAGATTATTTCAGCAATCTAATAAGGATGTGGTAGTGACCTGGCGAGGACCCAACCCAACAGAGACGAACCTATCCTTCATCTCCTGCACAGAAGCTTTGCTCCACTCAGGCACTCTTCCCTCTGGATCTGCTTCCTGTGCATCTGCTCTCCCGAATGTTCTATCGAACAGACCCCACTGTGATGGCAAATAGTCAAAACAAACAACAACAAAGCCTTTTAGTCTCAAGCAAGTTGGGGTAGGCTAGAAATAGTCAAAACAAACGTAGAGAGAAAAATAATTTAACACGTTAAATAAGGAGCAGCTTGTACAGAGTATATACTGAACATATGCAGCATCATGTGGCATAAGGAGCAATGTGGCACAGTGCATACCTGCCCATTTGAACCATATGCAGAGTATAGGGTTCTTCCCTTCTCTTCATTTCCACCACATTTAGCAATGGCCGCGTCAAGAAAAGATCTCTTCAGTGCTGATTGTGCTGTCTCAAGAAAAAAACAAAATTCTTAATTTAAAACTAGCCGATGTACGGAAGAGCTTGTCAGTAAAGATCAACAAGTTTCATAATGGTAGTAAAAGTGCACTGGAAATTGTCGAACCTGCAAACTGGATCAGATCTGCAAATGAAATGGGACCTCCCTTGGAAAAGGAATCTATCTCCTTTTTGGCTTCAGTCAGCAAATCCAATGCAGCAGAGAGCTCACTGTTTTCAGGTCTGCTTGTTTCTGGGCTTTATTTGAAAAATAAGTATCAAATGGTGGAGCAACGTAACGGACTATCAAGGTCGAGAAACTTGTTACTTGTTAGATTATCTTCAGCTTAGCATTTTCTTCTCTCAAAACAAAAAACAAACTGAAGAACTGAAGAAGAGAAAAGGAAAAAGAAAATGCTACCTAGCCTGATAGATCCATTTGCACCTCCAGTTTTTGTGGCCTGTACAAGAATAAACCAACTCTAAAAAACAAAAGAAGGACCCAAATGCTAATGATATAAAGCCATTCAGAGACCAGACCTTGTCATATGTGATGGCATCATTCAGTGCCAAGGTCAACAATGATGGAACGAGCTCTGGCTTAGCCTTCAAAAGATTATCAGGTTCACTGTTTCAGGCAACAGAAGCGATAGATAGGTGAAAGAAAAACACTGAGTACATCGAACTAAGGCGTCTCACCTTTATGGCTACGTAGAGGGTATCTTTGATTTTTGCTGCAAAAAACAGTCAAAAGACTTCAATTTCGATGGTGAGAATGAAGCATAGCATTCAAGGGGGCCAATGGAAGTAACAATATGAGATGACCTACATTGGAACTCTGACCGTTGTCTACGCTCAATGAGATCAGCTGCAGTAGCCACTCCAAAGAATCTCGTAGAGCCGTCGATCAATTCCTAACCCAAGACATCAATAAACGAAGTTCAGCTTATCACCTCTGAACTGAAACAAAAGGTGTCTTTCCTCTGAAAACAGTATAACCACACTAACTAGATGCAGTTGCGATCAAAAGTTCGCTGGGGCAACAACTTGGTGCTCTCCCATCATGCTACATTTGTTTACTTCTGTGGCGCCAATGCACAAGGACATTGATCTTTTGTCAGGATGGTAGCACTACCACGTACCAAACCAATGGCTGTCCCGACGCAGGTGCCGATGAAATCTCTCCGACGGAGTCGAAGACGCTCTTCATGGGCAGCGGCCTCCGAGCCTTCACCGTGAGCCCGGCAGCACACCTGAATCTGCGTAGGCAAATCAAGTATCACGCGATTCCGTCGAGGCTGAAATGGAATCTGCACAGGCAAATCAGTAAGTTCAGGGGGTGTTGTACGTGCGGGTGCCTCCGTGTCGGAGTTGAAATGGAAGAGCAGGCAGCGACGCCGCGGGCGACGAGCGGCGCGGTGGAGAGGAAGTTCGCTCCCGCCATTTCTCTGCTCGCCTCTGACGCTCGCTTGGCTGGTTGAGCGCCCTCAATGGAGGCTCGCAGGCTGCTGGTACGGCAGTAGCACGCGAGGATAAGGCAGCGAATCCTGGATCACCTGCCTGCGCCACACGTTGCAGATCGCGGGTTGCCCCCCTCCGCGTCCCGATTGCCTGCATACCGTTATCTCTACCAGAATGTGATGGTGACGGCATGCATATGACTGTCAGTGGCAATGTGGCATCATGTCACCTGCCACAATAACGGGCTGGAGCACTGGAACAGTTTGTGAGAGGGAAACGGTCCAACGGACGGCCCCCTTCCGAGATGATCATGCAGTATATCATCTGATAATCATCAATAATTGATTAATTTCTGACTAAAGACGACTTTAAATTACCATGCGAAGTTAAAAGGATACATCGTTCATATCAACCAAAGGTACAAGCCCAAATGCATAAGCATGTAAAGCTTAAAAAGCGCAGCAAACACAACGGATGCCATTCTCATTTGGGTAGTGGGGGGTTGCTGCTACATCTCCAGCATCACATTTAGGCACTTGTGGAAACCGTAGCATTTTCCATCTCCAGAAACGGCAACATCATCGCTGGTAAGATTGGTTCTCCCTCCGCTTCACATAGCGGGTCCGATCACTGTACCGGGGTCGATCTTGAGCTCTCTGAGGCACTGGCTCCACCCTTCTCTGCCTTTCTGGCGATCGCTGAACAATTTCACCGTTTACAAATAACTCAGCTGCAAAGAAAGATAACTTCATGAAAACCTAAGATATGCTCATATTAAGATGATTACGAATGAGAGAAATTTAATGACAGACTGAGCTTGGAAAGGATTGAAATGTAAATGACATCAGTCAACACACTTGATAAATTGGGAAGAGACAAGGCATTCGACAGAAAAGCAATGAATTGTAGTCCATGAATATAACAAATGAAATGCGAGGCATCCAATAAAAGTGAAACTTCATGCCATACGGCAAGCTAAACAAAAATAATAACAGCAGATGTGGAAATTTTAACTAACCGTTTAGCATTGAATGACAAAAAAAAGAAGCTACTGTTATTAGCAGTTTCACACTGCTTTACATCTCTTTCAAACATTTTTTCACTTATTTCAGAGGAACGTGCAACACAGCAATAATATGATTGATAGATATAAAACTACTATAGAAGGAATCCAGTAAGTAGAACTATGGCAAACTAAAGACAAAGATTGTTGGGAAACAATAGTAGGCAACTGGGAACCATACAGCACAAAGTGAGCTTTTCTTCCAGGGCAGTGACAATTCAAGGATCTATTAATAGCTAGCATGAAATAGTCAAAAAAAACGAAATGAACCAAACTCAACTTCACACTGCTTTACATCTCTTTTGAACAACATTTCTTCACATATGAGTTATGTCAGAGGAACGTGCAGTGCAGCAATAATATGATTGCTAGATTAAAAACTACTATAGAAGGAATCCAGGAAGTAGAACTATGACAAACTAGCAAGACAACAGATTACTGGGAAACAATAATAGGCAACTGTGAACCATACAGCTGAAAGTGAGGTTTTCTACCAGGGCAGTGAAAATTCAAGGATCTATTAACAGCTAGCACGAAATAGTCCTCAAAAAACGAAATGAACCACACTCAACATAAAGCTACAGGACACTTAGGTAATAAACTTACCACCATAATCCTTGTTCTCAGCATCAACATAAGAGTCAGGAAGCACAAATAGAACCCCTGGAAGGCCTGTTTTATCCAAAACACAAACCGCAGTTAGTGCAACTAGTGATACATGTAGTGTACTGAAAGTTCAGAAGATTTATATCTGTTAATGCTTATAGAAACAAGCACACGCATAGCATGATATCTGCAAATGGTCACTGAAGAAAGAATAAGCACAGCATGTTTCTAGTAGTAGATGTCAACACATCACTTTTCATGATAAAATTGCTCAATGAACACAATAACATAGCACCTAAGCTCAAACAAGTAATGTGTCACGGACACAATCATGAATAGACCACAACATTGTAATAGTTGAACATAACTAAGGCTTCAACTTCTTGAATTCTGCCCTTGCAGCTTTGTTCTCCTGTACTGTGCTTTTGTTGTTGTTTAATAAAAGTCTGTAGGGGCTCCACGGCCCCTCCAGTTTCGTCAAAAAACTAAGGCTTCAACACAAACATAAATCTTAATTTTCCATGTTATCACACTAAGCGACTATATCAACATTATAGCACAACGCAAAATACATTAATTGAAACAAAAGATGACATCACATTGCATGTCTTGACTCTTGAACAAGGAACCAAACAAGTCACCTTCGAGTTTGTTGGAGGTCTCTTCATCAATTTCACATCCGAATCCAAAATAGCGCTCGCAGGATACGTTGTATATCTTCTTCTTTGCCTCCTCCTCGCTGCAACAACATACAGCGAATTATCCAAAATTATTTCTCATCCCCGCGATACATCCAAACCTAAGGACATACTTGATTGAATCAGTAGTAACAATTACCTCCCTACCACCTGGGCAAGGGTCTGGATGTAGCAATCGATCATTTGCTGCTTAGTGGCGCCCTCGCCGCCGGGCTTGTCCATGACGATAAGCCAGTGCTCGTAGTCGCAGCCAGGGAACAGAGGCGCCATCTCCGTCGGCGCACGGTCACCACCCTGACCCGACCGCAGCGGGGAATATGAGGAATCCGGCCGCCGCGCCATGCAGCGGACGGACCCAACGCCGCCACGTTGCCGGGGGGGACGGATGGAAGAGGAGGACGGAAGGCGCCGTGACGGGAGGAGAGGCCGCACCGGGCGTGCGGCGACGAGGGCGCGCACTGCGGTGGCCATGGGTGGCGAGGGAAGAGGCGGTTGGCTGGCCGCGACGGGAGGGGCGGAAGCGGTGGTGAAATGGCGACAAGAGAGGTTTGGAATTGGATGGGGTTTTGATGAGGGACCGGGACGACGAGAGATATTTGCTGCGTTTGAGCGTGTTGACACTCAAATGGGCCGCCCGTTAGCCTGCGCATCCTCGTACTGGAGGCCCAGAAAAAACAGCCTAATCAGAACGTCCGGCCTGCTCGTTTCTGCTAAGGAAGAAGTCCACGTTATGTCCCCGAACTATCCTGACCCTCATCTTTTCTTTCCCACGCTCCCAGCTACAAACCCATATCACCCCCCCTCAGGCATGACGAAGATAAATGTGGATGCTACACTATCTAACAATTCTTGCATTTGCGACGGTGGCAGCTATTGCCAGGGATGAGGCAGGCATCTTTTTGGGAGCGTCTGCAATTGTGATGGAAGGAGTTTCAGATCTAGAGACGGCGGAAGCGTTGGCCTGGAGAGAAGGTCTAGCTCTCTCGAGTGACCTTATGCTTCAGAAGGTCAGGATTGCTACCGACTGCACGAACATAGTGAAGAATATGCATGGCCCGGGGATGAGTCCCTATGGCCACATCATCAGGGAGATTAAGTCAGGTATGGCAAGCTTCGCGTTGATGGAGGTCGTCTATGAAAGTAGGAACTCGAATGGTGGTGCTCATAGATTAGCTAAAAGCTCAATTTATGAATCTGTGAGGGCGGCATGTTTGGCTGCTTTTTCCTCCTAATGGAGTTTGTACCGATTACTCTGATATATGAATAAAGTGGTACTGATTTCTCAAAAAAAAGCTACAAACCCATATATAGAGATAAAAAACACACTACAAACCAGAAAATATAAAAACGTGCCGATCGTGAGAATTTGGTGGCTTGTAGTGAGAACAAGATGTGGCACTTGGTCACATCCTCCACTTGGGGCTCTTGTGTTAGACACGTAGTCTTATAGGTGGGATGGGGCTAGCCAACGCATGGGACACTTGGCATGAGGTCTTTGTATAGTCTAACCTTATCTGGTTGGTTTTCAACCACTGGCTTTGGTCCTACATGGCTCATCCTGGTCACGTCGTGTTTGTCTGAAGCCAGTCATGATCACGTGTTGGTCAACCCTAGGCCCAATTCAACTATAGTAGGGAGCGATTCAATCGAATGAGTTAGCTCTAGGAGGACTTAGTGCCCTGTACAACTAGACATGGCCTCTAATGTTCAGAATCTAAAAATGCATAATATGATGTATACTTAGCCTAAATTAGTTTTTGGGTTGTTAGGAGCCAGGTCTAGGTAAAAAAATGATGCATTGGTGGCAATGGCTAATGCTCTGTTTGGTTGCTCGCATTAGAACCGTCATGCACCATAAGATGCATATGTTCTTATAGAGAAGTGTATTATATTGTATGGGGGTATACAATTTGTATGAGCAGATGCAAAAATATGCACCCCTCATCTTGGCCTAGTTGATACAACCAAATTGAGCTCACTTATTGTGATAGCCGAGATATCCTGGGACTATTATATATAGGCTAAAAATTAGACACATGTAATAGCCGAGACATCCTGGGACTATCACAGATGGACAAAAGAGTCGGAATTTCAATTCTGGAAATTTTGGTTCGTTTCACTCGTATAGGTTCCCCTCATCTTGGCCTAGTTGATACAGACAAATTGAGCTCACTCATGTAGGTTCGGTGGATGTATTTTCATCTGCTACGTGTAACACCCTAGGTGTTTAGGCTTCCACAAATTGCATGTCATTTCATAACCATGTGCATTATCTATGTCATCATGTCATTATCACTGAAACATACATATGCAACATTTTAAATTGTATGTGTTTCCTGCTTGATTGCTTAGAGTGGTAGTAGTGCAACATGTGAATGTAACATGAAACTCTTATACTTGGAAACATGGCAAAATGGTAGTAATGTGACAAGCATAGGATAACAACCAGGTCATGCAACATGTGAAACATTGTATTGAAACATATGAGTGAATTGCTTGTTTTAATTGCTGTATCACATGTGATCATTAGAAGTGGTAGAACAACTTGGTAAAGTGGTTGATCATGGTCTAATACACCTTAACTATACTTAGGGTAATTGTTTGGACATTGTTCATGTGGACCAAAATGACCAAATTGCCCTTTTGGAGAGGTTTGACTTTTAATGACCCTTAGGGTGACACTGTTTGACTGATTCAAAAGACCAACTTGGAAGCTTTGCATGGCTGTGCACTCTTTACAAAAGTTGTAGCTAATTTATCAAGGAACAAAAGTTGTTTTATGACCATCTCATGAAAATGGCTAGAACATGCTCAAACATGGCCCACAAGTCAGAAATACATGCTGATTGCAACACTGAAAAATATGCTAAGTCTTAACTGCATTTCAATTGCATCGAGCTCACTTTGGCTTCGTGTAACTTCGGATCCATGGCGTGTTAGGTGTTGGTCATTGAAAAGAAATTGTAGAGGGAATATAGGTCTACAACTTTGATGTTCAATTCTTCCACTAACTCGTCACGGATTAGGAGTAAATCATTGTCAAAGTATCGCTGTCAGGCGTCGGCTTTAGCACTGAATCGCGTTTTTCAGAAAATCTTCAGTATCGCCGTGGCCGACCGTTTCAGAAAAACGACGCCGCGTGTCCGCCACCCGTCGTCGCTTCCGAAGGCTGGCTGCCTACACCGTCGCCATTCTCAAGCGTCGCAAACCGCGCTTTGAAGCCACCAGCGTCTGCCCGCGCCGAAGTCGCCGTTCCATTTCACATTTCCCCTCCTTCCTCCTCGGCAGACAATGCCATCAAACACCGAAGCACCGCCGAGCCATTTCCACCCAAAACCGAGCGCCATTGCCCGATTCATCCCTGACGCAGCACCACCGTGAGCTCCTCCACGTCCGTGACCCCACCGCCACTCCATTTTCGCCTCAGGTAGCTCTCACCGTGAGCGCTGGCTCCACCGGTCGCCATGACCGCCGCCGACCGAAGCCGAGCGTCGACGCGGGTCGTTGCTCGAGCCCCTTGCCGTCCCATCCCTCCCTTGCATTAGCTGCTGCGTGTGGGCTCTTGATGCTAGGAGAAGCGGGCCATTAGGGCCGAGGCGCCGTCGTCTCATGAGAGCCGAAGCCATGCCATGCCGTCTTGTGCGCCGTGCTTTCGCCGCCCCCTCTAGCCACTTCCTTAGCTGCAATTGATGGTTTCCCTAGGTTCGTTAGGGTGAGGCGAACGCATTGGCACCATTGCCTTCACCGGAGGAACCACCGGCGGCGCGAAGCTTGCGCCGTCGCAATCCTCCGCTCCCCGCCTATCTCATTGTCCTGTGGGACATTTATCGACCGCCGAGGCCGAGGCGGGAGCTGACTGGGCAGCGCCGTGTGTTTGGGCGCTGGCGCGCGTCTTGGGCAGGGCCTGTGTGCTCATGAACATTGTTTTTCTTGGCTGGCCAGAGTAGAAATTTGAGTGTTGTTTTCCTATTTTGTTTTGTTTATTTATTTCACGATTTATGTACATCTTGAAAAATATGTAGCTCCTAGTATATAGATCCAAATGCTATGGTTCTAATTTTGTTAAGTTCCTGGTCATGTCTAGTATTTAACAAAAATATTATATGAGCACATGTTTTAGAAATTTTTGATGATTTAAATAGGACTTTGAAATGTGTTTTTGGATACATGCAAACTTGTTTGAATTTTATCTTGAGTTTCTGTGGTCCAAAAATTATGAAATTTTGTGGACAGTCTATTATTGCTTGTTAGAAGCCCTGGTTAAAATTTTAGAGCTAGTGCATGTGTAGTTTTTAAGTTATAGAATTTCCTTTTATTAATGGGTGGATCTTGTGTGAATTTTCATAATTTTTCTATAGATCCAGTGAAGGTGAAATTTGATGGGTGCTATTCTTATGCTAGAAAGATGCTAGGAAAAATGAGAAATCTGTTGCTTGACACTTTTTAATAAGGTTTCCTAATTATGCTAAAATTAGACATGCCACCTGTTATTTTGGATACAGCAAGTTATGTTTGCCCAATGGCTTTGAAATTTTTATGGTAGTCTATGTGCAGCATGAGATAGCTACTGTAATTTTTTGTAGATTTTTATGAATAGTTTTACTATATATTGCTTAAATCACCTAATTAACTAAATAAATTGGAAAAGGATATTAAATAATTTATTTAGAAGTTGGCTCTATACTTTATGATGTTTCTTGGGTATGAAAAACAAGTTGGTAAACTTGGATTGATCAAATTATGCTTTTGCATCGTCATTAAATAATTAAGTTAGCAACCCCGCCATCATGGGACAGATTCTAGGTTTACTGGAATTTGATTTGGTTAACTTAAGAATCATACTTTGATGTTTACAAATGAATTGTAGAGAATTTCATAAGCTTTCCAGAATGTCCTCTTGCAAGTCATTTGGAGTTATAGAACTCTGGTTATGATTGAATTAAGTAACTACTTGTTGCATATGAAGCTTTAACTGTTATTTTAAGTATGTCTTTACTATTCTAAGTTCATGGTACTGTTCCTAGGTGTTAGGCCCTTAACTGAAGATGATCTTTATCTTAGGTTATGCAAGTTAGGTAAGTTGCTCTTGTTCTTTAAGTTAAGTTAGATACATGCTTAAAGTAATTTGAATAGAGCTAATTACTCGGTAAACGAAAGTGTCCAAAGTGATGCTTTCGTAAACACTCATTGTGATTCATTCATCATGAGCATCATGTCATTCCTTATGCATCCATGATATTTATCTTGTGCATCAGCATGCAATAGGTGTACCGGAAGGAGTAACCCTACTGGAATTCGAGGAACCGAGCGAGCAGCAGCAGCCGACGCCGGAGATTCAGGAGGAGCAGCCTTCAGGAGAGGTGCCAGACGAGGTCGCCGTTGAGTGTCCAGACCACCGTCCTTGCAACTTTGTGAAAGGCAAGCCCCGAGCATGTTAAGCCTCCTATTTTCCAAACTGCGATTCTGATATT